TTCCATGTTGATTAAAATAAAATATATTCAGAAGATTATCTATAAACTGTGAATCGGACACTAGGATATCTGCATTTTCAATTGACTCTTTGTCCTGTGAGCGTGCATGTTAATGTTAGGGTGGAAAAGATTTCTATCATCATTAGTAAAGGAAAATGTTATATACATATTTCAGTAGACATTATTTTAGCATACCAACATATATATAAACTGTGCCATGGTGTATGTATTTTGTGTCGTTATTGTATGGAATAAAAACAAAAAGATGTTAAGATAGAAACCCCAAGGGGTTGGTCTGGTGATAAGGCCTTGGGTCTTGGGAGTTTGCTTCCTGCAAGATTCAGAGATCCAAACTTCCTAGGTGTTAGCAATTCCTTGGAGCCTATTAAAAAAAAAAAACAAAAAAGATGTTAAGATGGTGATAACTACTTTTTGATATTCATATCAGCTACTTGTTGACAATGTGGAAAGTATAATCCTTGTTTGTCATGGAAAAACAAAGAAGATTTGGGATATTTCATTCCCTCAAAAGGTGTTGGTGTATTCATGATCAAAAGTTGATTTTATGTGGTGCAGGGTCCCGAGTTTGCGACCATTGTCAATTCTGTAACTTCCAAGAAGGTTGCTGCATGATCATGCATGGTGGTTTTGGCACCTGGGCAAATAAATGGTTATGGAATCACCTTTATGTTGGAAGCGTCACATGACAAGCATTTGAACTAGTTCAGTTTGGTAGGATTTTGATCATTTTACATTTTCCCGGCCACAATCATTTCGCTTTGATTTGGTTGCGCCATTTGTTTGAGCAAGAAATATTAACGTATTGAATAATTGTCAACATAATGGCATAGATGTTTAATTTGATGCTATGTTGACTTGCTCATTAGAATGATAATTTGACACTGCATGTTCTGACAACTGACCAACATGGTTTGAGTTATATTACCCTCTTCTTTTTTCTTCTTTTTCTGGTGTTAGGCATGCAAGAAAAGGAAAAGTATTCAAGAAAGTAGAAATCAAGGGTCAACATCAAGAAAGAACAGGCCAGACAAATGATGTCCAACCCGCTCGTGGGCTGAGCTAGCAGGCTTTTTTAACGGGCTGGGCTGTTTATCAAAACCTTGGGCTCAAGCACTACTCAAAGGACTTGGCCCAAATGAGCTAATAGGAGGGCTTTTGCGGGCTAGCCAGCAGGCCTAACCCAATGGGCCGAGATTTAGGCTATTTTTTTGGGGTTTTTATTTTCAGTTTCCCATATTGTTTCCTTCTATATATATATATATATTTTGTCAAACAAACAAATATATAAAGCAAAGAGATGATATATATATATATATATACATATATAAATCAAAACAGCCATGGCAAAGATTTGAAAACCCAGCCATGGCAGAGATTGGGATCCTCTTCTGTCTCTCTCTCTTACTCTGTTTTTGTTTTTTTTTTTTTTTTTTCAAATTACTCACTAAAACAACGTCGTTTTGCTGAGTTGAATCTCGATCCTTGGTTTGATGTGTGGGACACGTGTCGGCTGCTTGTCTTGCACTGTAGGAGATCATTGTAGGAACGTTACTCTAGAGGATCCTTACGCTTTGTGTTGATCCATTGGATAGTTGTCGCCTTCCACTTCCTCTATTTTTTTTTGGTGGCTCTTTGAAGGCCAACAGGGTACGAAACAGATGAATGAAATGAGATGTTTTGTGAGGTGTGAATCAGGTCTGTTTGAGATTTGATTATGTAACAGGTTAGGGTCCGGCGGGCGGTGAAGGCAAGGTTGCCGCCCGCCGGAAGGTGAAGCTCACCAAGAGCTAACCTATAGCTCTGATACCATGTAAAAAATATATGTATTATTGATTGATTTTTTTGATTCTGATA